AACAACAATTGCTCTTGTCCCACTAAAATGTGTAGCTTAAAATTAACAAAAGAGGTTTATTTACCAAAAAAAACAACAAAAAATAAATAAATAAAGATAAATTTTTTATTTTAATAATATTAGGTCGGCTAATTATACATATAAATGTGTTTAAAATGCAAATTTAGGTTGTTTATTTGTTTTGCAAGTTATAATAATATTTTTACTTTCAAGAATGTAACTTAAAATGTAAAATAAAGCACAAAAAGTTGTATTACCCACACGATAAAAATAAGTACAATTTGTTGTAGTACTGAAAATAGGTACATTTTTATGTACCTTCAAAAATACATACATTTAATGAGTGGATCTTTTAATTTAAATAATATTATTTAATACATGAAGCATAAAATATTCACTAGTATATTTTTACCCAATTTCTCTTAATGAGTGCCCACTGTCCCTGCTAGTTGTGATTTGGCTCAACATGATTTTCATATTTCACCCATTTACTTGTGCCTTATCATATGTGTATGTTTATTTATTTATTTACTTTTTTTTCAAAGGTTTTTTTGTGTAGTTCAGTGTGTATGTATTTGTGCGCTTCCATATGATTTTTGTGTACATTTTTCCCCTGCGCGAAGGCAACATGTTGCTAACTCGCTGCTGACGTTGCTGCTGCTGCTGCCCAGCAACATGTTGCAGTCACACCAAAAAAAAGAAACACACAAAACTATGGCCAAATGTACGACGTAGTTTTCCCCTCAGCCACCTCTAGTACATAGAGTATATATATATATATGTACATATAGTATATATATAAACAAAGCGCTGGCTGGCTGCCTGCTGCCTGCTCAGCTCAGCTGTTTTAGAAAGTTGCCGTCAGCAGCAGCGAACGGTTCGCTCCGCTCCGCTCTTTCATTTCCCACATATATTTCTCAATTCATTTCATTTCGAGACTTCAAAGCGACAACAGCACACAAAAGTCAGCAGCTAGAAACAGCATTATTTTTTTTGCCCAGTGTGAAGTGCAGTTAAAATAAAAAAAAGAGACCATAAAATAAATACAAAGGCCATCCGAAAATAACAAAATAAAACAAAAAATAAAAATCTAAGCAAACAAGTTTGCTTGCTGCTGCTACGCTGCGCTAATAATAATCGCGTTTACCTGCCTCCGATTCCGTTTCGTGCGACTGAACTCGAGAAACTTGAATATATACAAAGCAAAATACAAAATAAAGAGAAAAACAACATCAAAAACCTCCTAAAAATATAAAAAGTGTATTTAAAATCAAATACATAGGCTTCACGACGCGCTGCGCTGTTCAAAAGCGTTGAGAATTCAAATGCAGCTTAGAAAAAGTGCAAAAATATGTGGCCATTGCCATTCTGTTGCCAATTTCAGGACTAAAAGCCAATTAAAGCCACAAAATCAAAGGCGACAAAAGGCAGCCACAGTGAATACATAAAAAAGCTAAGAAAAATAGGTTTATAATGAACACAAAACAAATCAAGTTCAGTTAAAAATCATCGTAAATATCAATCAAAAAATTTGAGGATTTGGAAACGTTTCAAAAAAACGCCACAAAACACAGAAAACAAAAGGTTGGTTGGTTTTCAAAATAATTGTATGGCTTTAAGGGCTGCGCAATGGTATTGGTGTATCTGTGACGTTGCTCTGCCACTCAGCTGGTCAGCTGCGCATGTGTTGGTGACGTAATGCCAAAAGCACAGCGCAAACCAATACAGCGCAATTTAGACCCCCAACCCCATTCCCCACAACCCCCGCAACCCCCTCCACTGCCAGCAGTAGCACGCCACCCACACACACACACAATGTACACGCGCGCACACGAATAATTGAAGATCGCACATAGGGACAGTGGTTACTCAATAAAAACGAACGAAAATCAAAGCAGGTGTAATTAAATTATGAATATCAAGACCACGTAGTATCTATAAACAAAATCTTTCGAAATATTTTAGTACTCAGGTTAATTGTGGATTTTGAAACCTGTTTTCGATGTCTTACAAAGTTATTTAAAATTATTAAGGAAAGAAACTAACTTCGGGAATTCGAAGTTCATATACCCTTTCTGTAGGATAGAATCAGAAAGCGATCATATTAATATTTTTTATATAATATTTCTCCATAAATTAAAGACTTAAAAAACTCATAGCTAAGCCAAAAAAGCATTAATTTCACGTTGGGCAGCTTTCCTAAGTTAGTTTTTATTAGATTAACAAATCTACATACTCAATTTAAAATTTTTATTTATTTTTTTACATTTTAGCGATGTAACTCTTTTATAAAATTTTTAAAAAATTAATCCAAAAATTGGTTCTATAAAACATGGCTAGAAAGATTCGCTGATTCTGATCAAGAAAAAATATATACGCTTTATAAAGTCCGAAATGACTCCATCATAGGGTTACAAGCTTTTGACTAAAACTTTAATACCCTGCAAGGGTATTTTTTATTAATGGGTTGATTAAAATATGAATATTTAATGAAATAATTTTACTTTACTCTTAATACAATACATGTATTAACCATAAGGAAAATCAGTGATTTTTCGTTTTAAAAACCTTTCTAAGCTCTAAAACCTATTTTTAACCCATTATTTCGGTTACACAAAATCGTTTTTAGTGAGGTTGTACTTTAGTTGGTGGCCTGTTCGTGTGGGTGAAGCACTTTGGGAGACTTTGCGACGCCCCCTTCAGCGTTATTTGACACACACACACACACACTCACTCACACACACATAAATTACTGAAAAGGCAATTCAAATCAAGCTACCCGTAGCCGTTTCTTTCCACTCCCTCAAATGTGATAGTTGTTGTTGTTGTATTTGTGTGTTTTGGGTGAAGTCAGGAAAACTACTCGAGTTTTTCCCTACTTTTTTTTTTAATATAATTGACACACATTTTCTAATTGTGGCGTTGCATTTGCTGTGTGTCAACACTTTTGTTTGCTGCTTTGCATGGGGCCGTCGTTTGCCGTTTATCAGGTCTGCCTTTTGAACTTCTTTATCGCTCCCTTTACCTAGCTGTCTCACTCGCTCGCTTCACCTCGCTATCTCTGTCTCTTTGCCTCTCTGTCTTTGTCACTCACTTGTAACCTGTTTGATATAATCAGCTGTTGGGGAAGAAGAAGAGGGAGAATAAGCGAGAAGACCAAAGTGTGAGTGCTTAAAAGCTTTTTCAACATTATAAGATCCATGTAACATGGAAATAAATGAACAGAGAATAAATTGCGCAACATTTCAAAGGCACCCACGTGTCCGGGTTAGAAGATATTGTATCTCATATCTCTATAAGGTAGAGGAGGACGCCACAAAAGATTATAGCTATTGCGAAAGATAGAATGCTATGAGATCAGAACTGTCAAATAAAGAAAAATGCTTTAGGAAGATATGAGTAAAAACATTTTAGACTTATATATAGGAGAGAATTTAATAGAACCATAGTTGTAACCATGAAAAAAAGATTTTAGGCCATAATATACGAAAAAGATAGATAAATTACTTAAATAAACTAAAGAAAAGAGAGAACGCTACATAACGAATTTGAAAGAAAGAGAAAACGCTACTTGATGTATGCAAACTGAAAGAAAGAGAGCACACTACAAGCAAGGATATACTGCAAAAGAATACAAATTACTTTAAAGATACCATATTTTGCATCAAAACATAAATATTTATATGTTTAAATTATATAAATTCTGATATTTATGTAATTTCTACTTTAAAACGACCTGCAAAACTCAAATTCTTATAAAAGATACCATTTTAAAGGTCACATTAATGATAAAATTTAAAGAACGATTAAAAGGCAACTTTCACTATCTCTCTTGGCTCTGCCTGCTCGTTAAATGCTTTTTTATATAAGTGAAAGTATTTTATTTTTATTGTTTTTTTTTGGCAGATAAGCAAAACAAAAACGGAAATAGCCAGGCCAAAACAAAATAAAAACAGGCACAGCTGTTCTTGGCAAAACAACAGTGAACTTTGATTAAAGTTTTTCCAGCTTTTTACACGAACATATTTTTCCAACCAATTTATATCAATTCAAAAAGGGGAAAAAATAAAATATAAATAAAATGTAACGACACGAAGCACACACACAGACTCAAGCATTTGTCATAGTAATTTTATACGTGCGCAGTTGGAAATGTAAATGAAAGAGAGAGAGGGCAAATGAGCGACAGAACTGGAGTTGTGACAAGAATAAGAAGAAGAAGAAGAAGAGAAGAAGGCATTAACACTTCTTGCGGTCATTTGCTTTTCGCCGAGGAAGAAGGAAAAACAACAAGCGCAAAATAAGTGCGTGCCTTTATTTTCCTTTTTGTTTTTGCTCTCAATTTGCAAGACATATTTTGGCTAAAAATAAAAACGTGCTCGCACGCACTCACACACACAGGCACGCGAGTCCTGTTCTGGTTCTGCTTGGCTCCCTGTCTCCATCTCTTTTCCGCCCACTCCGCTCCAGTTGCTCGGGCCCCAACTCCCCTGTATGGGTGCAAGCGAGACACTCTCACGTGCTCAAGTTACAACGAGGCACAACACCCTCTCCCTCGCACACGTGGAAGAAGCAGCAGCACAAGACGAAGAAGAAGAAGAAGAGCGCCATAACTGGACTGCTGCTGCGTTTGTTTACATTTTTGTTTTGCTTTTTGTTTTTGCTCGCTGTGGTTTTGTTTGTGTTTTACTTTTTTTGTTTTATTTACTGCGCACATGTGAGCAGCAGCAATGTGGGGGAGAGAGTGAGCGTGTCGGGAGGAAGAGACAGCAGACAGTGGCTAACTTTATTTGTTGTGTAAGAGAAACAGGGTGGCTCACTCTCTGTAAAAAAAAGGAAAACAAAAGAAAAAGCGAAAAACAATTTAATTACGCTTTAATTTCGCCTTGTAAAAAAAAAATACAAAAATGTCGATCAATTACATGACGTTTGCAATTAATTAATTGTGAAGAATTTCATTTTCTAATCACCTGTTTTCCCCTTCCTTCTTTTCGTTGCAGCAAAAAGCAAAAAATAATGGAATTTTAACAAAGTCTCGAAAGGTGAGTGAGTGAAGGGGCGACTTAAAAACCTTGAAACCTTTAGTTTTTATTTTTTGATAAAGGTATAGGAAGAAGTGAACTTGAAAACGACTTTTTTATACCCTTAAATCTATAGAAACTATGGATATTTATAGGAAATAATCATGGGACCTCACCGAAACTTGGTATATATTCCTAAAACAATATATTATGAGGCTATACCAACTTTCAGATCAATATCTCTTACAGAAACAAAGATATAAAGATGTTAAGTTATATTATGTTAGAATCACACAAATGTTAATACCCTTTTTAAAAGTGTACAAAAAATAGGTTCCCCTATCTGATGACCATGTTGATTAGATGGGTTTCCCAACAATATCTCAAATGTGTTCTTTGTTCCGCGAGAGGAACACAGAATGAGAGGGAAACCCGAAAGGTGGGAGGTGGGAGGGATTTCACAAGGGGTGTAAGAGAGAGAGAGAGGGAGGCAACATGTAACCCATTTGTAGGTGCGGCCCCCCTAGAAAAAAATCAACACTCACATACCAAAGCTCGCTCGCTCAGCTGTGAAGGTTTTATGATTGGGGAGAGGGTCACCACCGCCATCACCACATGCGCATCCAAACACAGTACATAATGGGCTTGTTGTAAGGTCAATCAGCGAGGTCAATCAGCGATTGAAAAACCGATTGTCTTCCGCCGGCTTCCTGGGAAATCTAAATTTGGTCAATAGAAGCCCCACAAGGTGCATGTTTTTCAATTGAAAACGTACTAAAAATTAGTGAATTCTATATAAAAGTTTATAACATGTAGGGAAATGTATTACAAGTAAAGAAATTATAGTTCTAAAGCTTTTTTCTAGTAATTCAGTACTTTAATATATATGAAAAGTTCGTAACTTTCTAGGTACGGTTTTAAAAAAGGATCAAGAGGTGTCCTAAAGTATGCTACAAAATTTTACCTATTCGAAAAGCAACATTCTTTTGAAGTTTCCTTAATTTGGATATCAATTATAAAGCTAAGATCTCTCTGGAATATATTTATTAAGCTATATTCCCCGATTTTTGTTTGTTATTCCTTCTCTGATTTCAAAACTCTCAGAACTCCAAATTGCCTGCCTTATATGGACAAATCTCATACTGTCAAGTCCACTTGATCTTAGTAATCTCTACTTACCATTTCCGCTGCGGATGACACATCTTAACGAGCTTCTTCCACTGGCAAAACGAGTGAATAATTATAATTAAACTTTATTCCGTGACGCATGCGCTGGGGAATGACTAAAGTGAAACACGAACATGTGTGGAGTGTAGTAAATATAAATTTATAAAAAGAAATGAGGCTTTTCTTTGTCTGTGGCTTTCGTTGCACTCACGTGTTGTTAGAAAACCAATTTTTGGGGTTTCATAATGCGAAAGGAAACCTCGAAGCGAACGGAACTTGTTTTTTTTTGTCGAAAAGTTGCAACATAACAATTTTCCACTCCCTCAGTGTTGTTTTCCATTTTCTTATCTACTTGAAACGGGTTTTTTTCTGTTGATTTTCCCCTTCGTTTTTCCCACTTACCATTTTCCATTCGCCTCGCTTCCATTTTCCGCTCGGTAATCAAAAAATTTTCGTAATGTGCGTCAAACAGAAAAAATAAAGGCAATACGCGGTAATAAATGAGAAATGTGCAAAAAAAAATCAAATGTAACGAAAATGTGCAATAAATAAATAATGTAAGCGGAGAGCAGCGCAGCCACATTGCAAAATCAAAAAGCATGCCAAGGACGGTGGCCGAGCTAAATGAAATTAGTCCAACAATGTACCATGTACCGACCTCCTTAGCTCTTTATTTCTTTTTTATATTTTGTATTTTGTATTTTTATTTTATTTATTTTTTTTAACCCGCTCGCTTGCTCGATCGGCTTGCCAAGAAGTGCAGAAATAATCACACAAAGTGTGCCAATCAAGGAAAAAAAAGAACAATGGGGAAAAACTTGTATATGACAAAGTTCTGCAATCAACTTGATTGCACTTTTCTTAATTCACTGCCAATTACTTGAGCCACGGTATTATTTTATTTTATTTTTATTTCTTGCTAGAAGAAAAGCAAGCAATTCTATTAAGAAAGTCTTAAAGACCATACTCTGCTCTATATATTAAAAGAATAGTCAATTTTGTAATATTATCATTTGAAAATTCAAAAACTATCAGTAAAATATCCGTATTTTGTATAAATATTAAATTGTACATATATTTTAGCGTAAAATATTAATGCAGTTTATCTGTAGTTCTGTATCTGTAATATTCAGTAACTCATTTATACTATAGCTTTCCCAGAGACCTAAGCTTTTTTTTTACTGTAAACCACAACTAATATAATTGCTGCAATGTACAAGCAATTAGTTACATTTTATTTCTTAGACTCTCAATAAATATATTAATTTTCTAAATTCAACAGATACCAAATTATTAATCAAATTAATTCAAGTACTGCCAGTAAAGATTTTACAAATATTTAAAATTTATTTAAGGGACAAACAAATTCATATTTACTTTAAATTTTAATTTAAAAGAATACATCTTTTAATTTTACAATTTTACAATTTTAAAACGTAGTAAAATTATGAAAAACTTGAAAAACAATTTGCCCAAAATAATATAAATATTATTAAAGCTTAACATTTTCCATTTGTCACAGCTACCCCACCCCTTTCTCTACGTTTTCCATTTCCGCAACATTTCCTTGGCAATTGTAGCGCATTGCCACTGCGTCATACGCCTGACTGCTAGGGAAATTCGTGTAAATTCGGTTGGAAAATATGTAATTTTCGCCGTTTTCCGCTTTTCTTTTTCTCCTTTTCGTTTTTGCCCGCGATGAAATGTAAATGATAATGGACAGCTGAAATGAAGGGAATACTAAATGAGGGGGGAAATGGGGAAGACGGCGAGGAAAACGAAATGGAATGGAAGGCGAATTAGTGGGCCATAATGTAATCGAATATTATTCCGTTCGCTTGTGTCCCCATTTTCATACGGGTTTTCTTGACAGTGTGTCTATATAGGTAAGTGTGTGTGTGTGTGTGTGTGTGCGTCTATTGTGGGCCAAGAGTATTTCATACACACAGCAACATTTATTTGTATGAACGAATATGCCATAAACAAAACTTAACAAACACACATACACATGCAAGCAACTGATTGCAAAGCAATACAAAAATCAGATGTTTCCTATCCAAAGAGAGAGAGAGAGGGAAAGAGGGAGCGCGGAAAGCTCGCTCTCTTATGTATTTTTTGTGTCTGTCTCGCGCGCTAGTTATATATTGTGTATGCAGGTCAAGAAGAAACGCAAAAAACAAAAGCAAAAGTAAAGACAAACATGTTTACCCAAGAGAGCGCACGCTTCTCTCTCTCTCTTGCTGTCTCTCTCTCTTGCTGTCTCTTGCAACATGTTGCCAGCTGTTAGAGGTGTGTGCGCTGCAACAGCTGTTTTCTGTGCATGTGCGCATTTGTTTTTCTTTGTGTTTGTGTATTTGTTGATTTTTTTTTAATTTGGCTTAGATTTATTTTTGTTCGTCGCTTTTTTCTTCGTTTTTAATTCGCAAATTGCTGTTGCCAAGCGGCGCTTTTTTGCTACATTTGCGAAAAAAACAACAAGATGAAAAAGAAGAGCAAAAGTAATTGTTTTTATAGATTTTGATTGCTTTTAGTAAGCAAAAGTTAATGCAAATAATTATTGTAATTGTATCAGTAGCAAGAAAACATTTACAATGCTTGGAATATTTTTTTTTTGTAATTAAAAAATCAAACAAAATATTATTTACATAATTTTGAATTAATTTTCAATGAATTGGTTAGGTAAATATTTTGTTTATGTTTTTTTTTTGCTTAAGAATTAATACTTTTAATAAAAACCATCTGTTGAAAGTCTTTTTCTAGGGTTTTTAGTATTTATTTTTGATTTTCTTAAACAAAACTTAAGTTTTGAATTAATTTAGTCAAGTTTATTCAATATTTTTGATGTTAAAATATACATATATAAAGTAAAGATTTTATATAGCTCTTTTGCTTTCTATTTTAATATATTTATTCTTTAAATTTCATATAATAATATTTTTTATTCGCTTGCTTTGCCACTTTCTGTAATAAATTTAAATACACTTCAATTAGAGCCCCTCTCTCTCTCTCTCTCTCTCTCTGCGTGGTAAGTTGCCCCAAAACGACCTTCAAAAACCCCACACACTTACACAAGCACAAAACGCACACTTTCAGATACAGTATCTGCAAAGCTTGGCTCAATGACGTCACGTAGCAGCATGTTGGCAACATGTTGTTTGTTAGCAAACGTTTTTCTTGTTTCATTTTCCAAAGGGGGTGGCTGGGCAGGGGGGGAGGGGTAGATGCATGCATTTTGTGCATTGCCAAACGGCGCTGACATGTTGCTCCCCATAACTGGGTCTCTCCGGTTAAGTAACGACCTGGTTTCCAGCTGCACATAGCATGTATATAGTATCTACAGATACAAATTTGTATCTTATAGCTAGCAGCTATAGCTAAGCACGATTTCAGGTTAAATCGGGGCCGTGTCAGTGTGTCGCAGTTAACAACAATTGGCCAAGAATGTTCTCTGTTCGCCTGTCTTTTGTTGCCGAGCGAGGTTGCTTCCGCATCGGAAGGATATATATTTATAGTGGGGTATATAATGTACTGCAAGTAAAGTAAACCATGTCAGCTTATGTAATGCAATTTGTATATAGTATATAGTATATAGTACATCATAGAGACGGACAGACCTTGGGGGATTCATTTCAAGTTGAGCCTGGCTGCTCTCGACGACCTTCAGAGGCTGCTGCACGAGGAGGAGGAGGAGGAGGATGACGAGGTGGCATAGCAGCTGTTGCTATACGCGGATATAGATCCTTGTCGATTTTATAATAAAGTCAAGGCTATTTATAGATTTTATGCCTATTAGGTAGGAGACTTTATTTTAAAGAACTTTTTTGTGGAAGATTTTTAAAGATTAAAAGCTTTAAATAAATGTCTAAGTAATATATTTAAGTGTTCTGTTTATAAATGGTTTTTAAATATATAAAAACAGTTGAGAAATTATATAAACAAACATAATTTATTTAGTAATTCTATAAAACCTTGAAAACTCTGTTTTTTCGAGTTCTAATACATTCTTAAATAAACTTTCAAATAATTGCAGTTCATTACTATAGGTTCTCCATATTTATACAGCTCTAACATCTTTCAGTTTCTGCTAAATATAATTGCTTTCAATAATTACCCAAGATTTTCCATAGTTTCTATTAAATTTTGCATTCAGTAAATGTGAAGAATGGCATAGTTGTAGTAACCTAACTTTAGATGCATATTTATGCACGTTCATGTTGTTCAATTTAATGGCAGGCAATTTCCCACGTTTCCTATAGTTTTCATAGATAATAATCCCTTATAACCGCTTCCCATTTTCTATAGCTATATAATGGCTTATTTTTTACCAAATCAAAGGTTAAAAAACTCATAACTAAGCCAAAAATGCATTAATTTTAATTTGGAAAACTTTCCTATGTTAGTTTTTGTTAGTTAAATAAATCTGCATACTCTTTTTGAAATTTAAAAATATTAAAATTTTTGTCAATTTTTTTTGTTAAATTTTAACAATTTTTACCCCTTAAAAATATTGAAAATTAAAAAAAAAAATTTTTTGTCGGACAGAGCTAGATCGATTCGCCTTTTAATGCTGATCAAGAATATATATGGTTTATAGGGTCGGAAATTACTCCTTCCGACGTTAAAAGCTTGCGAATAAAACAATAATACAATTTTTTGGATCGATATTTTTTTTATTTTTATATGAAAATTTTTTCTACATATCAAAAAACTCATAACTAAGCCAAAAATTCGTTAATTTCCATTCGGAAAGCTTTCCTACACTAATTTTTGTTAATTAAATAAATCTGCATACTCTTTTTGAATTTTTAAAAATTTAAATTTTTGTCAATTTTTTGTTTAGTTTTAGCATTGTAACCCCTTAAAAAATTGTGAAAAAATTTGTAAAAAAAATTTTCCTCCTGAGATGGCTAAGACGATTCGCCTTTTAATGCTGATCAAGAATATATAGGTTTATAGGGTCGGAAATGACTCAATTCGGAGTTAGAAGCTTCTAACTAAAATTAGAATTCTCTGCAAAGGCTTAAAAATATATATAAGATATTTTTTATTTCATATTTTAAACATTTTCCCTTCTCTCTTTTTTTACAGTGTACTTCTGGTGCAAGAAGCAGCATCAGCAGCAGCAACAGCAGCAGCTTAGCTAGAGGAAACCGGAAACGGAATCAGCGCCAGATCTCCAGATCTCCAGCCAGCGGAAAAGACGACCATGATACCCACCAGTGTCACCAATTCACCGCCGCCAGCGGGTTTGGGCCAGAATGGAGCAGCTGCCTCATTGGGCTCGGCCACAGCGGCAGCTGGAAATGGATCAGGAGGCAGTGGCGGCGGCGGCATAGCCATGGGCATGGGTTCGAGCTCGGGTCCTGGAGCTCAGAACAGCTACAGCTCCTTTGTGCTGGGCCTGGCCTCGCTTATCCTGGAGGGCAGACCCATTGCAGACGATGAGTACATGCTGCAGCAGCATCATCAGCAACCGGGATCGGGTGGAGCCACAACCGGCGGGGGAGGCGGAGGAGCAGGAGGACGCCTCTCGCCGCGACCCTCCACCTCGAGGGCGGCCATAAACATTACAACGAATCCCTATGGCTCCATGGGAGGATCGGATAATCGTGGTGGAGGAGGAGGAGGAGTAGGAGTAGGAGGAGGAGCTTCTACCAGCGGCAGCAGCAATGGCAACACCAGCAGCAGCTCCCTAACCCACCAGCGCTGGACGCAGAAGCTCTGCCAACTGCGCCAGATCTCGCCGGCTGCCCAGGCGATGAGTGCCGAACCGGAGTTGGTCTCCCTGGCCATCAATGATCTCAACAAGGATCATGGCGGTGACTATGAGATTGTGCGACGTGTCATGCTCAACCGGGCAGGCGGAGGCATGGGTCTAAGTGGTACCGGTGGCATTGGTAGCAACAACTCGAGTGCCGCCAGTTCACCGGGCTCCAATTCATCGGATAATATCCTCCATTCGCTGCAATCCCTGGCCACCACATGCTTGCGCGGTGGCCCAGCCTTGGCAGCACCGCCACCCGTGGAGCCAAGGCCTCTCAATCTGTCCTTTATCTGGACGGGATCGGTGGCTTCTAGTGGAGGAGGAGGAGTGGGAGTTGGAGGAGCGGCAGCAGCACTAGCAGCAGGCGGAGGAGGACTAGGAGGAGTCGGAGGAGGAGGAGGAGGAGGAGGAGCGTCAACAACTGCCACTGCCAGCAGCGGAGCAAATAGCTCCGCATCGCGGCCCAAGCATGGGCCGCACTGTGATCAGTTCCTCAGGAAGATGGGTCTGGCCAAGGGCGAGATGCCATCGGAGGCTGAGGAGCACATCTGTGATATGTCCTACGTGAATATGACCGTAAGTTCAGGGAGATTTTTTAGATGGAAAATTGAAAATAATTAATTAATTATGAAGAAGCAAGGTGTTTCCCTCTGCAATAGCTTAATTTTTGTGATTAACTAATTAAATATCCATAAATTTATATATTTCTTTTAGTATTTTAGATTTATCTAAAATATCTTAAATATTGTATACTTTGTTTTATCGAATTCCCTAAAATATCTCAACGTTATCGGTTTATATATCGATATTGGAATCAATTATTGCTGTGGTATCGATTGTCAATATTTTTCGATATTTCTAGACCATTTTCCCTCACAAATTGTGAAATTTCGCATGATTTATTTGTTTTTCTTGTGACTTGTGATATTTTTCCAAGATTAGAATAGTTAAGAGACTGCGAAAGTGCCTTTTGAATGACTGCAACCTGTGTAGCTCCAGAAAGTCTGGAAAACCTATTATAAAACAAGACACTGATATTGCTTTATCTCTATTTCTTTTTTTTATTGTGCAATTAAGGCTTAATCATTTTGGTTTTGTTGTTTATTTTTTTTCCCCCCCATAAAGCTTAGTCACAGTCACAAATAATGATTAATAGACACACTCGACTCAGGAGGCAAGACAAAGGTTGATTTAAGAGCAAGCTTTTTGAGTTTAAAATGTTAAGTCAAGTTAAATAAATTACTTTATTTTAAGAGCTAATAAAAATAGATATAAATACTCTTAAATATATAATCTAATATGTTAAATATCTTTCATAATTTCCAAGTGCAATCGCTGGCGTGCTTACTGCATGAAAATGGAGGCCATCCTGGCCAGACGTGAACCCGTTTGCATAGAGGTCTACCTGGGTCCCGTAACCCACAAGCTATTGCTGGAACAATGGATCATCAGCGGCAGGGAGAAGTGAGTTTTCAACTACAAAAGAAACCCAGAAATCTCTTTAAATAATGCTCCTCCTTCTTCACAGAGTCCCACCGCCCACGATGACACTGCCATCGCTATGCAGCGCCATTCGCAGTCAGCTGTACTTCTCCCAGATTGTGGCCTGGTGTGATTTGCTCCGCAAGTGCGATCCCTCGGTCTACGACAGCGGTCGAGTGATCTTTGCCAGCTGTGGCAACAATGCCGGCGATTTGGCCACCACCTGTACGCCCAGCGGGGGCCAGAGGAGGCCTCGCTTGAATATCTTCTACAGGATTAAGCAGCACAATGCCAACGCTGGTGGTGGACAGTACCAGGATGGCTTCAGTGCCAAGGCCAATGTCCATAATTTTCCCAACGTCAATGTCTCGGAAAGCTATAGCATTTCCGTGTGCGTGAAAAGTTTACCCAGGATTAATGGTGGCCTGCCCCATGTGGAGCCCCTACCTAGTCCCAGTCCAGCGCCACGCAGCCTGCGAACCTGCGGCGGTGATCCGGCAAGCACACCAACCGGTGGCGGTGGCCTTCATGCGGCCACGCCAACGGGTCTGGGAGCCAGGATTAGTGCAATTAGTAGCCCAACGACGACCACCACGATGACCGGCAGCTCCAACTGTGATAATAATGGATTAAAGCAAGGATTAGATGAACTCGATGGGGACACGAGCCTGAGTCACCGGGAGAGGCAGTTGCAAAAGTATCGCAAGCGGATGCAGCGACGGGATAAGAAGCGGGAGAGGAAGAACTCCCCGGAGAGGCAGCAGCAACTACACCATCCCGTAGAAGAACCCATGGAGGAGGGTGAAGAGTCCGCATCGCCCTCGCAATCCGAGTCGCAATCCTTGGCCTGGAGCCTGCAGCAGCCACCGCGTCGCATAGCCATGATCTCCACGGGGACACAGACCTCGCTAAGCAGCTGTCAGCATTGTGGAAGCGAGAAGACCTTGCTCTGCCTCAGCTGCACGGGAGGAGCCAGGCAAGAGGAGGATAATAGCGATGATAGTGATACGACAGCCTCCGAAATGGAGGAGACCAACTCCTCGTGCAGCCTCAGCAGCGGTGATCTCATTGTGGGCACGCCACGCAACAAGGCCGAGCTGCTGCTCCAGGCCATACAGCGAACGCCAAAGAATCGACAGCGGAAGCCGCATCGTCATCCGGCACCCTCGTCCTCAGATCTCAGTGGTGGACAGAACAATAACCTGGCCAAGGCGGCCACCAGCAGTGGGTGTCAGGTGTGCAAGCGCCAGAAGACGCAGCATAATTTTGCCAATGGCAGGGAGCCAAAACCCAACACCCATACCAATGGTGACCAAGGAAACAGCAATGGCTACACCAGCATGCTGCAGGAGGAGGAGCAGGAAAATGAAGCTAAACAGCCAACAGAGGCGCAAATCAAGAGCACCAAGCTGACGCCCAACATTGAACGCTGCTCCCTCAACTCCTTGGAACGAGGATGCAAGACCCCACCGCCGGTGGATCACATTGTGGTGCAGTTCAAGACGCCGCTGAGCCAAGTGCCAGCCAAACAGCAACCCGATGCCATGGTTCCCCTCCAGCAGCAGCAGCAACAGTCCTTGGGTCGCTCCTCACCAAAGCCAAGTCAACTTCGTTTGAATTGTGGCAGCAGCTTGGCGGATATGGAAACTCCGCCCCCTTCAAGTGCCAGCATCTCACCGCTGTTGAGGAAGGGTGGCAGTGGTGTCCTGCCCAAGGTCAATCTCACCACAATCTTTTGCAGTTCGGCGCCCATTGCCATTGGCTGTCCCGCCTTTAGCTTTGATCCTGCTGCCTTGAGTCATGCCCATTCGCAGCTCCTGGCACCCGATACTACGGGTAATACCCCACCCGTGCAGAAATCCTTCTCGGCGCCCACCTTGCCGCATGCTGCCTCGCTGTCCGTCTCGCCGAGATTCGCCAAACAGGCGCTGGCGGCGCATAAGAGGAGATCACGTCACCTGAGCGATCGCAGTGATCGCAGCTCCCTGGGATCCGATGAGCAGTTGTCGGACGAGGACTTGGAGTCGGGTCTGTGCAGTCCAGCTGCAGGTGGTTCGCCATTAAAGTGTCGCGCAAGATTGGCTGCCCATTTTGCGGGGCGTCCTTTGTTGGGTAACCTGGAGGAGTCGCTGCTGCAGAGGAGACTTATGCCCAAGATTGAGGTAATGGGTTTCAAGCTGCAGCTAGGAGCCTCGGGAGGATTCTGTCCCACACAGTTGACCATACCGGCAATGTCGTATTTTTATGAGCTGCATGGCGAGACACTGAGCACGCCCTATTTGGTGAGTGGAAACTGATAATTCTAAAAGAATTCTTAATAATAATAGTATTTCTTTCAGTGCGAGATACGCTTGCCCCGCAAAGGTTACTCAGTGCCGCGAACGGGCACAGTGCAGGCCACGCTTTTGAATCCCATGGGCACTGTAGTGCGAATGTTTGTGATTCCCTACGATATGCGTGATATGCCGGCATTGCATCGCACTTTTATACGTCAACGCATTCTGGCCGAGGAGGTGAGCAAGGAGGAGGAGGTGGGAGAGGATAAGGCAGCTCAGCAGGTGCCACGCAGTCCCACGGCCAGCAGCAGCACCACCAGCAAGCTGGGACACTTTATAACCGCCGAGCAAATGAAGCGATTGCGCTACTCCATACACCTGAGGTATGCTGTGATTTTATAATAATAAAAATATAATAAATAACTGAATATTTATCAACAGATTCCAAACATCTCGTTCTGGACGCTTATCCCTGCACACGGACATCCGTTTGCTGATCTCACGTCGCACCGACTGCGATACAGCGGCTGCCCATGCCAAGGGCATTCTGGAGGCACCCAATGAGCTGGTGACGGACACTTTGATGCCGGCGGAGCCGCGTTATAGTGCCAGGCAGGAGAGCACGGGCAGCAGGATTTAGTAGCTACTGCAGGCGCTGGGCGGCACCACCATTGAGCTGCTGCGTCGCCTATGCAAGCAGCTGCAGGACAAGTGGCAGCAGCAGCAGCAAAGGGAGTGGCCCAGATATCAGTTGTAGGAGGAGTAGGATGCTGCAGGAAGCAGAGGGAGAAGGATGGAGGAGGAGAAGCAGAGGAACCAGCGAGGAAGAAGGATACAAAAACGGATGGCAGGAGGCGAAACAAACTCCTGTACTCCCAGCTGCTTTACTAGTTATTGTTTAAACTATTATCTAAGCTTAGTTTCTTTTTTCAAATTTCCCTTTGATTTTCGGTATTCCATTTGTTTAGGTATATTTTGAATTTACTGAAATTGTTGAAGAAAAGCAATCGAAACAGAATTCAGCGAGGAAATCACTATCTGTAGCTGTTTCCACATCTTTTTGGGGGTCCATACTTTGAGGAGAAGGCTAGGAAGGAGCGAGCAATAACTATAAAACTATGCAATGAGTGTGAGAGAGAATGTGCGATATATATAAATATATAATATATATATATTTATGTACCATATATTAATCAACAATTTTAACAAGCAAATTTTGTGTGTGAAAAAGGAGTTGGAAAAATGTCGTAGTATTTAGGCAAGGAAAAAGTTGAGAAAAGCGAAAGAAACATGATGTTGAATGATATATATATATATAGTATATATGCGCTCATATCGATCGTTGTTGTTAGTAGTAAGTGAGTTTGAGAAAGAGTTTAAAAGTTGATTCAGTTTTGCTTTCATTTCCGTTTCCGTTTTCGTTTCCGATTTCTTCAGAGAGAGTGTCTAATTAAAGCGTGCCTGTGATACGATATGAGCTGCATTCTAATAGAGTTCTTTTTTCTCTTTAGGTTATTAATAAATTAATTTCTTTCTTTTTTGTTGTTCACTCCACAAAAGGCAACCAAGTGTTTGCAATGTGTAACTTCAATAAATACCAATCTAGATGTGTTGAAAATTCCCTTAACCCTGCTGACGCGACTCTTTCTTATATATATTTTCCAATTGATACCTGAAACTATATATATTTAACTATATATTGTGTACTACAAGCTATTAACAAATTTTCAATCTATAGGTGGTATGAGAAATTTAACAATTAGAAAATAAAAATAAGAAAAACAAAACGAAACAAAAAAAGAAGCAAAAACAAACGCTAAAAGAGTAAAATAGAGCGAAAACAATAAAGCAGAAATCAATACACTTTACTTTGTTCAATTTGTTTTTAAGTAGAGAGCTTAATGTGCGCTGTCAATAGCAATTATATTATATGTGTAACAAATAACACCAATATACAAATACAAAAATGATTCAATAATCAAGGAAAATTGTGTTTTTATTTAATTTAATAAATTTAAAATCAAAATATATCATTTAAATTATATTTTTTTAATTGTAAAGGTTTAAATTATTAGTTTTAGACATGAATAATGCTCACATTTATATCCAACAGAAAAATACATTTATTTTGGTTTTTCTCATTAAAACCTTTTACATTTTTAAATTAAATTACATTTAAATTTTTAAATGATATATTAAAGTATTTGCTCATATTTAAATTATTAAAAAGTTAACCAAAATTTTAGTTGTCTTTAATAAATTCAAGAACGTTTTATATTCTTTGGAAAAAATATTATTTTCTATAGAAATAATACCAAAAATCAAACTTTATTTTTGCTATATTGTTTTCCATATTAATATTGTTACATTTAAACATGTACAAACAGTTTTTTAGTTTATTCAATTTAAAAACGTTTTCCCATAAAAAAAAATACCATAAACATACTAAAATGTATAGTATTTTACTTGCCATAACTCATAGCACTCCAATCAGCTGATCTAAAAAGCTTGCCGGTGGCGGCTTTACTCCGCCTGGTCACACTGGCATGGAAATTACCTAATTTTGTGTGTTTTCACGATGCGTTCCACCTTATTTTCCGGCGCCTCGCGGCTCTTAAGATATAACCGGAATGGCCAGTTTCTGACACGACCGAGAAGCACCAAGGCCACATCCACCAGCTTGGATCAGCAGCATCAGGATGCGGCGGCCAGAAGCGAGGGAGGTAAGTCGGATTCCGTGGAGGAATCCCAAGAGGAGCAGCAGAAATTACCCACCCGGGAGCCGCTGGTCAAGAACTTCTTCATTGGAGTGGTGGACAAGGAACTGCTGGCTTACCCAGAGGTAATCCCACGCGACGAGATGGCTCAGCTGCAGAATTCTCTGCTGCCGCTTAAGAATTACTTTGAGGAGCAGCGGGAAGCGGAGACGGAGCAGCAGAAGCCCACGGAGACTTACCGCCAGCTGGGACTCTACGGTCTGAATGCCCCCACAGACTTTGAGGGCAAGGGCTACGGATGGAGCGCCAGCTTGATGGCCAGTGAACCGGATTCCGCGGACACCAATGTATCTCTCAGCCTGCAGACACACCGCGTCGTTGTGGATTTCCTCAAGGAACTGGGCACGCCCCAGCAGCAGCAGCGTTACTTGCAAGACCTGGCCACCGGTGCCCTCATAGCCACCGAGGCGATCTATGAGTACTCACCGCCCGAGGAGGATTTCTTCAACACCAAGGCGGAGTTCCTTCCCGAAACGGGCAAGTGGCGACTCAGCGGAGAGAAGGCCTTCGTGGTTTGCACACCCGGAGAGAGACAATTGTTCTTGGTCCTGGCACAGACACAACAACCAAATGTCCCGGGAGACGTGGGCAGAGGCTCTACCATCTTTCTGGTGGATTCCCAGCTGGAGGGCGTGCGTCTGGGTGAGAAACATGCCACCTTTGGTTGCCGCCAAGCGGACATCAGAAGGATACACTTTGACAAGGTGCAACTGGGCGAGGAACAGGTTGTGTGCATTGCCCACGATGGCAATCGCTACTCGGAGCAGCTGGTGAGATCTTCGAGGCTAAGAGGCAGCCTGGCTGGAGTTTCGCTGGCCAAGAAGCTGCTCAACGAACTGGCCCAGTACACAGTGACCACCACTCAGTGTCGAGTGCAACTCAAGTGAGTAAATAAAAGATTATTTTGTTTTAAGAGAACTAATTATGTTTAACTTTCTCTTTCAGGGATCTGGAGCTCACACGCGTCCATCTATCCCGCGCTGCCTGCTCTGTCTATGCCATGGAGAGCATGCTTTACTTGACCGCCGGCCTGCTGGACGAGTTTCGTTCCCAAGATGTGACCCTGGAGAGTGCCATTACCAAGTTCTTTACGCTCCGCCAGCTGTATGAGATTGCCACCCAAAATCTGGCCCTGGTGGGGCCCAAGAGCTTGCTTAGTGGGCAGGCCACGGAGCTGGGACTCCGGGATGCCGCTCAGCTGTGCACGCAGGGTGAATCCTTGGACACGCTGGGCATGTTTATCGCTCTCACCGGGTTGCAGTATGCGGGGGTGAGTTATCTTTAAGACATCTTCCTCAACCCAGGTTATATTTCCCACTTTCCCACCCACAGCAAGCTATGAATGCGGGTGTGCGCAAATCCAGGAATCCCCTCTTCCATCCGGGACACATTTTCGGTAAGTTCCTGGACACCAACAGCATAGACAGCCCAAAGACCAAGATGCAGTTGGCGGAGCATGTGCATCCCTCGCTGGATGCTGCTGCTCAGTGCATTGAGCAATCGGTGGCCAGGCTGCAGATGGCCGTGGAGCTGATGTTCACCCGTCATGGCAATGCCGTGGTGGAGCGTCAGAGTGAGATGCAGCGCCTGGCAGAGGTGGCCACCACCATCTATGCCATGTGGGCCAGTACCGCTCGAGCGTCGCGTTCTTATTGCATTGGCCTGCCCCTGGCGGATCATGAAATGCTGACGGCCACGGCTATATGTTCCCAGGGCAAGGATCGGGTTCACACATTGTGCACGGAGATCTTTGGCGGGAATTTTGTAAACAACGACAACAATCTGGTGCGACTCTCCAAGCAGCTGGCCAAGAGCAAAGGCTACTTCCCGGTTCATCCGCTCACTTTTAACTTTTAAGACTATGAATGCCTTTATCATTAAAAGTAAATAATTGTTACTGATATTATGCAGATTAGTTGCAGAAACTCTTTAAAGCTTTACATTTATCTTTTCATTCAAATTTTATGAAAAATAAGTCGTAATTACAAAAATCTTACAATTTTTTTCACCACATCCTAACGGACAACGGTTCGAAACTAAATTCATTGAATTTGACTCCCTTTTGGAGAATTTTACTCCATGTATGAGGATTTTACCTCTTTGAACGTGTAAAATTGTTATCTTCACGTGCAATATGTAAAATAACGAAAATTCAAGACATCGATAGTGTAAGAACAATATCCAATCATCGATAGTATCGATAATGCTCTATCGTTGTGCCAGCACTACTGCGAGAGAGAGAGAGTTAACAGAAAAGTTAAATGAGAGTGTTAACAGAAAAGTGCGGGTGAATTTAAAATCTGTAACAGAAAAGTGCGAGTAAATTGAATAAGAGAGCGTTAACATAAAACTGCGAGTGAATTAAAAAAGAGAGCGTTAACAGAAGAGTGATTGTGGATTGAACACTTTTAACAGAAAAGTTCTGGTTAATTAAAAACCATTAACAGAGTCGTTAACAGGAGTGTGCCGGTGAATTGAAAAAGAGAGCTTAACAGAGTGGTGAAACTAAGCCAAATGAGAGCGTTAACATAACAGTGCCTGTTAATTTAACAGACTGAGAGGGCTTGCAGGGCTTACGGTTCTGCTCGAAAGCACCATGACAGACGCGAAAAAAAATCCGGAACAGTAAGTTGCAAAAATTAGACGTGCTAAAAATAAAAAGCAAACAATATAAAATAAGATGACAAGATAAACTAAAACCCACTAAATCTAATCTGAACAACAATTATAATGATCGGTTCTTGAGCTGCGTATCGCGGGCGCCCGTAATTTCGTCATTTTTTGCCAATCATCGTAAATGGCAATCAAAGAGTAATACAAAAAATGCATAAGCAATCGCAATAAATTGGTTTAATTATAGAAAACGCCGTCGGAAACGGTGGAAATTGCGCGTGTGCGGGTGGAACAGAGTGACACTCGGCGTGAAAATCACCATCGCCAAGGAAAAGGCGGAAAAGAGGAAAAACACCCGCGGCGAAAATTATTTGGGTGCGAGCGAGTGTCCGTGTGAGTGTGTGTGTGCAAAACAACACCAAAAAAAAGCAGAGAAGTTCGAGAAATTGCAAAGTATGTGTGTGCGTTTCGAGTCAGTGTATGTGTGTGCGACGAAAGAAGAATAGTCAATTGGCGGCGGCGATAAGCAATAGAAGTTGAAGCAGTTCTGAAGAAGCCGATTAAAAAGGTAAGCTTATATTTTCTTGTATTGCTCATTTAAGAAATGGGGAAGTGTTAACTCAAATGACTTATAAGGAAGTTAACTCAAGCAAACGGTTTAAAGTTTGAGGAAAAAACCCTAGAAAAAAAAGCTATTCAATTGTTGTTTCCCCTGCGGGCATATATATTTTTTTATTACACTTACACCCTTAAATAACTCCCGCTGAGTTCGATATTAACCCCGCCCCTTGCTCATTTAAAGCGCACCCGTTACCTCAGGTCTTTTCTTTCCCCTCCTCCTCCTCCTCCTCTCCTCGTACCATTTAAGAACCGCACAAAAATTACAAACAAATAAAATCGGCAAAAAAAAAACCGAAGCGCATAAAGAAGACGAAAAAGAAGCAGTAGCGTCGTCGAATCCAGTCCTTCATTCCATTTCATTTCGTTCCACATGGTGCATAGATGTGTTGCTGCTGCTGCTGCTGCTGCTGGTGCGCTGCTCTTGTTGCCTCTGCCACTGCCGCACTGCCTTTGTTGTTCTTGTTTTTGTTCTTGCTCCTCTTTTATTTTGGCTTGACTTCGGCGGTGACAGTGAGCAATGAAAAGCAGCGAACGGCACTGCGAACGGTGGAAATGGAAACGCCATGAGCATTGGCACACGACACGCACACACACACACACACACACACACATACATACACTCACTTACCCAGAGTTAAATGAACGCTGCCCAAAGCAAACACAGCGTACAGTGGATATAACGTTGAAGGGATTCTATAAGTAAATAATTTTATTTATAAATTTCCTTGCTTCTTGTTTAATCTTATATTGCTAGGTACTTAATTTTTTAAATAATTGTAAACTTTTTCACCCTGAGTGGGAGTTAAAGCTCAATTGTTGCTATTGAGGTTCCACTGTACCAATACTTGGCAAAAGGCAGCGACGCCGCGGCGGATGAAGCAGGCAAAGACACCGAGACGAGGAGTCAACTCACCTCTGCTTTAATTTTGTTTTCTTTTATTTTTCTTTTTGCGCTCATATATTGTGTTTTTATTCTTCTTGTTATATTTCTTTTTTTTCTCCACTGGCCCGCCCTGTCCGCATGTGCTATGCGTGTATAACTGTGTGTGTGTGTGTGTGTGTTGGGCTCACACAAATACGGCAAATACAATTCATCAGCGGCAGAGAAGGTTCTGCTGCTGCTGCTGCCCGTTGGCTCTTGTTCTTGTTCTTGTTGTTGCTATTATTTGTGATTGCTGTTGGTGTTGTTGGTGTTGTTGTTGCTGTTGTTGTTGGTGTTGTTGGCTGGTTCTGCGCGCTTTTATTTGAGATTTGCGCACGAATGGCTTTTGCTTTTGCTCTTTGGAGTTGTATATAAATTGTGATGGGAGAATGTGAAGGCGGCGGTGTAGAAGTGGAGGAGTGGGAGTGGGAGGAGAGGAGAGGCAGGCTAGTTTTGTACTAGAGTTCGCGGACACACACACACACAGAGAGTGCCATGCATGTGGGGGATATACAAAAACATGGCAAAACCGAAGCAACAACAACAACAACCAGAAGGGAGAACTAAGAGGAGGGAGAAAAACAAGGCAAGTGGATTTGGCTTTGGGATTTCGTTTTATACGCTCATTCCTCCTTTGCTCCCCTTTTTTTTTTTTTTTTTTTTTGTTGTGTGTGCCCGCATTTCTTCTCATTCCTCTTTCTTGGCATATTTTCTCCCTCTGTTTCCCTTTTGCATGTTAATTGCCGCCGTTGAACTTTTAGAATTTTGGTTAACTTAATCAATTGGTTTTGGCCTTTTTTATTTGGTTTTCTGTGTTGTTTTTTATGATTTGTTTGTTTTTGCCGCTACTTCTTGGTGGGCAAATATTTAAAAATAGATTTTTGGTTAACAAGGTAATTATTACAGGAAGTTATATGAATTATGACTGGGTTTAAGAGGTTATAGTAAGGAAAAATTAAACTTTTCTTTAGTCAATCAATTAAATAAGCCAAAAAGCTAATCAAAAAGGTTAATTGTGTTGATTTTGCGACTTTTGTATTTATTTTTAAGTTCACCTTTTCGTTTATTTGCCATTTCCCCTCGTTTTCCTCTCTTGCATTTCCGATTCCCTTTTCCAAGGTGGCGGCGCCTGGCAGCCGCTAGATGTCGCCAGCGTTGCTGTCGCTGATTCCTACTGCCTTTTGCTCCTTGTATTCCTCCCCCCTGCTTCTTCTTCTTCTCCTCGCTGCTTTTCCTCTGCCCGCAAATCGATTTCGATTGAGTTGGTGCCATCTCTGTCGCACACACACACACCCCTCCTCGACTTTGGTTGGAGTGTGTGAGTGGCCTGGCCTGGCAATAAGCTTAACATAAATCATTATAACGGCACACACAGGAGAGACCTTACATGCCACCCCCCTTAACCCCACACCTATCCTCCCTCCCGTTTTCCCCCCCTGTAACTGTGTGTGTGTGAGTTTTTGTGTATTTGTTCGATTTCGTTTCGGCTGTCATTTCGTATGGAATTCTATATGGGGAAAAACGCACAAAATCGATTTCTAATCGTGTAAATAAATGGCGACAAATGCTGCGAGACCCCTTGCTGAAAGCACACCTCTCCTCTTTGCCCCTTTCCGCTCTTTCTACCTCTCGTTGGTCCACCTTTTGCTCTTGGCAACAAAAGCGAAAGAAGAGGAAAAACGAAGTGGGGCAATTGTTTCAAAAAACCAAAATTACATAGGGAGAAAAATGATCAAGAAATACAATTACAATATAAATTGAAATACAAAAATGTTTTGATTTGTAAAATATATAAATATTACTTTTCTTTATTGTCTAATTTATTTGTTTTATTCCCTTATTGTATTGCCTAAACATACATAATTTCTCTCAGTGCCTTCCGCAGATTTCTGCTTGCATCTTGAGTTTTTTTTTTTTCTCTGATTTGTAAGAAATGTGAGAATAAAAGGGGCAGATATGTCACCATTAAACTGGAATCGAAACATTTCGTTTGAAGAGAGGAGTAGGGGGAACAAGGTTAGGATGAAGGAGGAGAAAAGCAGAAGAAACAGCAGCCACAACAGAGATTCCTAAATGCCAGAAGATAAAGGAATTGGAAGAATTACCACAGAAACAAACAGAAAAGCTAAGAGGATCTAATCAAATCAGCAAATCAGTTTATAACTTTATTCACAGACTGTCGGCCTTAAGACACAGTTTTGTGACATAAAAAATAATATAAATAATATTAATTATATAAACGAAATACTAAAACCTAGAAGCTAAGGTTATAAATTTTATAGTTTTTTAAGTTCTGGCTTCGTATAAGCATCTTTAAAAACTGATTTAAAAATATATATTCACAAAACACCCATTTTATAATTTTTTTAAAGAAACCCCAGTGTCATATTTCCCATTCATAGTTAACCAACTAATCAGTATTATAATACTCTTTTTTGTCCAGAAATCTAAAACAAATATCGGAAACAGGCTTGACACAGAATGTCAGTTGATTTTTGGGTGGAATAAAGGGGATAAAAACGGGGTTATATTACAAAATAGAGAGACAAGAAGAGTAGGGTTTTTTTGGGGGCTAAAACAATTGCATTGTGTAAAGCACACAGTCTCTCTCTCACACACACACACACACACACACACACACATTTTATTTGTTTTCCTTGTCCTGCATTTCAGCCCTGAGGCCTCCTCGATTTCCAAACACAATTCCAGGGACTCCGGAGTGAGTGCCCAGCTAAAAGTGCAAAAAATCGCACATCAAAACGGTAAAGTGGGGGAAAAGCTAGGGAAATTGTGGAGGGAGCTATGTTCAGCTCCCCCTTTGTCGCTGTCTCTCTTTCTATTTTCCCCATCTCGTTCTCTTTCTGTTCCCCAGGGAAACATCGATGGATAACACAAAATTGAATTTACAAAAAGATGCTGTTGGTGGTTATACTCTTTTTTTTTTAAGAATGCTTAATATCATATATATTGGTAATACATGTTTAGGGATGTGAAAAGGGTATATCTTTAGTCTGTATCTTTGGCAGGAGAGTCTAAGGAGGTTGGTCTGTTTGTCCTTAAAACTGCTGCAATGAGATTTACCTCCTTAGTCTTAACAATATCTAAGGTATATTGTAATTTCTTTAACCTAAGATGATTAAGGGGACTTAAAGGATAATTTTTTAACATGTTAAAGATTTAAAAAACTCATAACTCAGCCAAAAGACCATTAATTTTAATTCGGAAAGCTTTCCTATGTTAGTTTTTATGACGTTAATAATTCTGCATACTCAATTTAAAATCTACAAAAATTAAATTTTTTATCAATTTTTTTTTTGTCAATTTTTAACAATAAAATATGGAATAAAAATTAAAAAAAAAATTTGTCTTCCGAAGATGGCTAGATCGACTCCGCTGTTGATGCTGATCAAGAATATATATGATTTATAGGGTCGGAAATGACTCCTTCATAGCGTTTCAAGTTTTTAACTAAAATGGTAATATTACAGGGTATAGAAAAGGGGACAATTAAGAAGTTCAATCATTTCGTTCATTCTTATAAGTTTAAATGTGTTTTTTTACAGTCAGGCTACGACCTTGACCTACGTAATCATAGAAACCCCAGGAAATCTTTAAAATTTATACCAAAAGACCATTACAAAGAGTATAAAAACGTCGTTATAATAAAACTTCCTGTCTTTTTGCTATTTGCACACTTTTGAAAATATTGGCAGTAATTGAATTTATGCCATTTGTTCGTTGGTCGACTAAACGGAGAGGGGAGGGGGGAAAATTCAGGAAAATGTGTGGCAAAAGTAGAGAAAAGAGAAGTCAGGAAAGGGGGTAGCTGGGGGTCTCTCGTTCGATCGACACTATCGAAAATTGAAATGCTAAAGATGAGTAAGCCAGCCATGTACATTTCCGCCCCTTCCCCCCACCTCCCACACCCCCAACCACACTTTTCCTCTGTGCTTTTCCGCCACACTTGTATTTTTCATTGTCCACTCATTTGGTTGGTGTTTTTTTTTTGGTGTTGTTGCCCCTCT